ACAATTGTCATAATCGTCATTTTTGAACTTTTTTCAATTTTTTTAAGGCAAATGGGTAAAAATATATTTGTAAACATGTTAAATTTAAATTTCAGTGAAGATGTACTATAGGAAAGTGACAATTGTCATAATCGTCATTTTTGAACTTTTTTGAATTTTTTTTTTACAAATGGGTAAAAATATATTTTGTAAACATGTTAAATTTAAATTTCAGTGAAGATGTACCATAGGAAAGTGACAATTGTCAAAATCGTCATTTTTGAACTTTTTTGAATCTTTTTAAGGCAAATGGGTAAAAATATATTTTGTAAACATGTTAAATTTAAATTTCAGAGAAGATGTACCATTGGAAAGTGACAATTGTCATAATCGTCATTTTTGAACTTTTTTGAATTTTTTTAAGGCAAATGGGTAAAAATATATTTTGTAAACATGTTAAATTTAAATTTCGGTGAAGATCCATAGGAATGTGACAATTGTCATAATCGTCATTTATGAACTTTTTTCAATTTTTTTAAGGCAAATGGGTAAAAATATATTTGTAAACATGTTAAATTTTAATTTCAGTGAAGATGTACCATAGGAAAGTGACAATTGTCATAATCGTCATTTTTGAACTTTTTTGAATTTTTTTTTGACAAATGGGTAAAAATATATTTTGTAAACATGTTAAATTTAAATTTCAGTGAAGATGTACCATAGGAAAGTGACAATTGTCATAATCGTCATTTTTGAACTTTTTTCAATTTTTTTAGACAAATACAAATGGGTAGCAAACATGTTAAAATAAAATTTCATTGAAGATGTACCATAGGAAAGTGACAATTGTCATAATCGTCATTTTTGAACTTTTTTCAATTTTTTTAAGGCAAATGGGTAAAAATATATTTGGGTCATTCCATGTCAAATCAATCACTTTTCGGCCGACCCCTTTCGATTTCGATGAAAAATCGTAGGCTGGTTATATATGTTCCCATTAGATTATAAACAAAATTTTAGCGCATTAGCAACTATATTAGCGGAGATATTCGGGGTTAAAGGTCTAAAAAACGTCTTTTTTTGCTTTTTACTGATGTTAAATAACTAGTTTTTAATTTTAAACTAAATATGATCAAATATTGAATATAATATCAATAGCTAAGTTAATAATTGATGATTATGGCGAAAACATCAAAATTAATTTTTGATAAAATATGGGTCATCTTATAGTCAGTTGAAAACTTGAAATTAATATTTCGAAATGTATATGATCTCCGATTTTTAATTTTTTTAAGAAATATTATCCGTTTACTATTTTTTTAAAAATTTCTTCAACAATTAGCATGGCTGGATATTTATTTTAAAAAATATTGCGATTTTTATACTTTAAAAAAAATAGATGGCGCTATATATAATAGTTTTAATATGTTAAAATTCATTTTTTTTATTGATTAAAAATAATTTAATGTATATATATCATACTAAATCGATTACAATGTCCATTATATATTTTTATTTGTAATTCAGATCATAAATTTTTAAAATCTTCACAAATTTAGCCTAATTAAGATAGTTTATAAATTAATTAAATCTTACTTCATCTAAAGGAATACAAAGCCTGGCTAGCTTGTGAGATTTCTTCGGGAGATAATATATATGTTTGACTGGTAGGAGTAGAAGGATTGACCAGCGAGAGTATATGAGATTTAGGCAACACTAAAATATCATCTTTCAGAGGAAATTTAAATGAGGCTGAAGGTCCACAAGGGTGTAAAAATTGGATTTTTACTTCTTTATTTATATCATTTTTATCGATTATATATCCTAACCACCACTTATCATCATATACACATGTTATATATCCATTAATATTTTAAAAATTAATTTTCTCATTTAAATACGAAACTTGTTTTATATTATATTTTTTGGAATTAGAATATATTTTGGTTTTTAGTCTATTTTGATCAATGGGAATAATCCCGTGATTTTTTTGGGTCCCATGTATAAGCAGTGCATTAAATCTTTTACGAAGGGCTAATTCCTCTTCGATATATTCTTGATTTGATACATATTCAAATTGAATTCCATTAATATTTTCTTTAGCATAATTATATAATTCTAATGGGGTTAGGATTTGATTTTTATTTGGCCTTTGAAGACTAGCTCTGGCAACTAATCTTTTGACAGTTCCTCCGATACCGTCACATGCATTTTTGCGGTGAGCAGTGGCAAAGAAATGCCATTCGGCAGGAATTTTAAAATCGTATTTATGAAGACATATGTTCAGAAAAATTTTGCGATTCTTGTATTGAGACGCGGCTTCATCTGAAAAAAATATTTTTTTTTCTGGTTTAGAATTAAATTTGGATAAAATAACAAAATTTATATTTTTTAATTCTTCTCCAGATTTATAATATGCTACAAATGGATGTATAGTAGCCTGCAAGTTGTTCCAATGAAATCCCTGAACTTCATCTTGTAAAATGAAGGAATAATCCTCAGAATAATCTAGATTGGTTAAAAATTCCCCATCTTTAAAATTTTTCTACATTTGTCATTAATTTCACATTCTGATGAATGGCGCAGACACAAACAGTGTGTGTGCCACTAGCTCCAACTAAAATACAGTTTTTTGGTCTAAGTTCGGCAAATTTAGAGAATCCAATTGATATATTTGGGTATTCTTCCTTAAACATCTTGAATATTTATTTAAGCTTAAGTCTTTTTTGGACTGATTCTTTCTCGCCTTTAACAGATACACAATCTTTTATTCCAGGCATGAGTCGGCTTATTTCATCAGAACTATAATATTGTTTATTTTTATTACTTAAAAAATTTTTCAAAATCTTCGAAATTTGCTTTATCTCTGGTTATTTTAATAATTTAAGATAATGACAATTTCATAACATTCTTGATCTTGATGGGTATGACTTAGTCAGGGGGGAAGTATGCCTGATAATTAATGTGATTTTCGATTTTTCCCTTAATAATTTTCCTGCACTCCTTTAATCCTGCTTTTTTGCTCGTATGCTAGTCGGATTTTTTAATTATTTTTAATTTACATTGAAATATTAAAAAAATTATTTAAATTTTTTATCCTGCGAATATCTCAGGGGAATAAGGTTTACAAAGTTATATAATCCAATTTTATGATATATTATACATTAAAATATTTTTAATCAATAAAAAAATGAATTTTAACATATTAAAACTATTATAAATAGCGCCATCTATTTTTTTAAAAGTATAAAAATCGCAATATTTTTTTAAATAAATATCCAGCCATGCTAATTGTTGAAGAAATTATTAAAAAAATAGTAAACGGATAATATTTCTTAAAAAAATTAAAAATCGGAGATCATATACATTTCGAAATATTAATTTCAAGTTTTCAACTGACCATAAGATGACCCATATTTTATCAAAAATTAATTTTGATGTTTTCGCCATAATCATCAATTATTAACTTAGCTATTGATATTATATTCAATATTTGATCATATTTAGTTTTAAATTAAAAACTAATTATTTGACATCAGTAAAAAGCAAAAAAAGACGTTTTTTGGACCTTTAACCCCGATTATCTCCGCTAATATAGTTGCTAATGCGCTAAAATTTTGTTTATAATCTAATGGGAACATATATAACCAGTCTACAACTTTTTATCGAAATTGAAAGGGGTCGGCCGAAAATCTTGATTTTTTTGCTCATTTGACATGGAATAACCCATTTTGTAAACATGTTGTCACAACGACATGGTTGTCATTGTGGATCAAAACCTAAATATAAAAATAGAAAACAAATATATATATATAAAAGGAAATTAATAATAATTAGGAATTACGAAATCCTAAAATCAACTTTAATTCTTTATTCAAAATTATAATAGTAAACATCATAAAAAAAATAAAATAAAATAAAATTAAAAAATTAAAAGTAAATTTTAGTTAAAATAATAATTCCTTTTCGCATCATAATTTCTCCATTATATATCCTTTTTCTTTAATCAACATTTACATAGTCTCCCTAGCGAAGAATAACAAGTTCTACATCCTACTTGTTAAAACTGTTAAAGTATGAAAAAATCTACAAATCTCACGCGTTTTTTTCTCATTTACACAGACGGGGATATTTTAATAAAACATTATTTTTGTTTACGATTTGCATAATGCATTTTTTTGTAAAGTAAAACTGCAACACCCTTCCACTTAAGTTAGACCCACCAATCTGCGAATAATCAATCTTCTTTCGATCTCGACTTATTCTTCTTAATTTTTGCTGTCTTCTAAGTTCTAACGAAGGCTTTGTCGCTTGAAATTTTTGAATTCTATCTGTCGCTTGTCCCCCTGTGAAACGATCAGCTTTTTATCTCTGTAGGCCACTGACGAACTTGATAAAGGCTTGTTTTCCACGATCCACGCTTGATGAACGATTATCGATGCCATCCAGTTTCATCGTAACTTGTTTTCTATCATTCTCTTGTAATCCACGATTAGCTTTTTATCTCGATAAACGATTGGTCTGCGATAAACGATGGTTTTCACGAATTCTTGTTCGTCTTGACCCTCTTTTATATCAATTTGCTTGTTTTCCCCCTTTCTCTTGTAATTGATTGGTTGTTGCCTCTAATTCTTGTAATCGTATCTATCTTTCAGACTTTCGGGTCTTCTACGACAGTTTGCCCTTGTTGAGATATCGGGTAATCACATCTAATCTACTTCTACCTAAAATAATCTATTTACATATCTACATTTATCTCCTCTAAACTAATTCTGCCTTTAATAAATGGCGTAAATTATACTAAATCTTAAATTTTATAATACGTAGCAAAATATAATAAATTATATAAATATATCACATTCTATCACCCCTCTCCCCTTAATGAAGCCTAGACCCATATTTTCATTGAAAAATTTACTTGTACTCATCCTTTAGCTATTGATCCTCATCTTCTTTTCAGCCATGTCTATACTAAATTTATATCTAAAAATCCTATTCTAAAATATATATCAAAACCTATCTTTTAAAAAAATTATCATTGTGTATTTATTTCCTCATGTACTCTTTGACACTAAGTCTTTAAAAAAAACAGCTGAAATATATAAATCTCTTTTCATACATACGTTGTTGAGAAATCAATGACCTAATCATAAAAGTTTTCATACTTACGTTTATGAACAACCTCTTAATTCTAATCACTATGGCTTTCACCCCACGTCTTTGAATAACTTATGAACTCTAATCATTATAATTTTTCGCACAACCGTTGTTGAAAACTGATATGTATATTTCTAACGCATGTTTTTCTTTCTGTTATTATTAGAATAATGTTGCATAATTGATCTCAAATCTTATTTATGATTCAAAAAAAATAAATATCCGATCTCAAATTGAGCTCGATTGCGGCATAAATTTTCTAATGACGAAAAGCCGATTCTCTCTATGAAGATTTTTTGGTTAATCTACAACCTAATATACTAATTCACATTAATCCTTGAGGCTGTTTTATCTCTCGCAGCCCTTAAAATAAAAGTTAAACGTAAATCTTCAATAAGAATTTAATCAACTATTTCCTAACAATAAAGTTATATTCTAATCTTATTCACCGAATTTTTTAATTATTATATCTCAGCAACCTATTAGTTAAATATTAACTTTCGCAATTTATGTTTCTATTTCTTTGTCAAAGTTATTTCTAGTGATCACTTGATAATAATTCTAAAATCTAAAATATCATAGTCTTTATTAGTTTCAAAATTCCATTGGTTTTTAGTTTACCAGTAACTTCTAAATATAAAATTCCTAATTATCACCTTTAAATAACTAAACACAATTATCTCTATCTACTATGAATGTTACCTTTGTCTTTAATTTTAGATTTTATATCCTACATAAACATAATCTTAACAACATAATATTTCCTTTTCATCTTTATTTATATATTTTTCTTACGTTCTTCTGGAATTTTTTTTTTTTGTATTAGAATACAGTTTGACACCTCTCCTTGTTGTTTCACCGGTCCCACACTGAAGGTTGTAAAGGGCCGGTCTCCTCCGCTCTTCGGCACCATTGTCACAACGACATGGTTGTCATTGTGGATCAAAACCTAAATATAAAAATAGAAAACAAATATATATATATAAAAGGAAATTAATAATAATTAGGAATTACGAAATCCTAAAATCAACTTTAATTCTTTATTCAAAATTATAATAGTAAACATCATAAAAAAAATAAAATAAAATAAAATTAAAAAATTAAAAGTAAATTTTAGTTAAAATAATAATTCCTTTTCGCATCATAATTTCTCCATTATATATCCTTTTTCTTTAATCAACATTTACATAGTCTCCCTAGCGAAGAATAACAAGTTCTACATCCTACTTGTTAAAACTGTTAAAGTATGAAAAAATCTACAAATCTCACGCGTTTTTTTCTCATTTACATAGACGGGGATATTTTAATAAAACATTATTTTTGTTTACGATTTGCATAATGCATTTTTTTGTAAAGTAAAACTGCAACACATGTTAAATTTAAATTTCGGTGAAGATGTACCATAGGAAAGTGACAATAGTCATAATCGTCATTTTTGAACTTTTTTGAATTTTTTTTTGACAAATGGGTTAAAATATATTTTGTAAACATTTTAAATTTCAGTGAAGATGTACCATAGGAAACAATTGTCATAATTAGGCCTACAAAAAAATGAATCAAATCGAATAATACTATTATTCGAATTTTCGAATCCAATAATTGCGCTATTCGTATTCGTACGAATAATAAAATCATTATTCGTTTGATTCGTTGAATATTCGATTCGATTCGAAAATTTTTCTAAAGCTTATAAAATATTTTGCAAAGAAAATTTTACAGATATTTAAAGATGACACTTTTAAGGATTCTCTAAACTAATTGTCATTACAATATAAAAATTTATAGAAAATAAACGAAATAAAACCCAATGATTTCATATAACGTTAACCAAACAAATTGACCAAAATATCCGATTTTTAGAATTAGAATTGCTTATAAAAAAATATTTAGTGAAGGTGATTATGACAAAATAAAATTTTTAAAATTATAATCTATTTAAAATATCTACATTTTAAATATTTGCATATAAAATATAACAAAATTTTAGAAAGTATTTCATTATAGATTTTATTTATTAAAAATACTTTAGTAGCATAAATTTCCTTTATTTAATCATGTATTTATTTTTATTATTAATATCATTTTATAAGATAGAGGTGAAGGTGATTATGACAAAATAGAATTTTTAAAATTATAATCTATTTAAAATATCTACATTTTAAATATTTGCATATAAAATATAACAAAATTTTAGAAAGTATTTCATTATAGATTTTATTTAATATATAAAAATACTTTAGTAGCATAAATTTCCTTTATTTAATTATTAATATAATTTTTAGAGGTGATTATGACAATGGGTAACAGATTAAATCATGGGGAAATTTTCATATATTATTTTTTTTTTATTTATTTTTTTTTAATATTTTTTTTTTATTTATTTTTTTTAAAATATATTTTTTTATTTATTATTATTTTTAAATTTAAAAAAAATCTTAAGTATATTTAAGAATTTAGAAAAAAAGAGTATATTTAAGAATTTAGAAAAAAAGAGTATATTTAAGAATTTAGAAAAAAAGAGTATATTTAGGAATTTAGAAAAAAAGAGTATATTATAAGAATTTAGAAAAAAAGAGTATATTTAAGAATTTAGAAAAAAAGAGTATATTTAAGAATTTAGAAAAAAAGAGTATATTTAAGAATTTAGAAAGAACGAGTATATTTAAGAATTTAGAAAAAAAGAGTATATTTAAGAATTTAGAAAAAAAAGAAGTATATTTAAGAATTTAATAAAAATAGGTATACTAAATAATTAATCAATTTATTTGAATAAATATAACATATATACAATGATAATATAGATATATATATTTTTAAGGAAAAACAAAAATAGTTCTATGTTATCCATAAAGAGGTAAAATGTTAAATTTAAAAAACTTTGATATTGTATCAAAAAATTTCCTTCAAAATCCACACGATATTTATTTATCAAAAAATTCCCGTTAAAATCCACACGATATTTATTTATCAAAAAATTTCCTTCAAAATCCACACGATATTTATTTATCAAAAAAATATCTAAAAATACGCCAAATTTCTACCAAAATCCAGACAATCTAAAAAAAATAAATAAAAAATTTAAAAAAAAAAAAATATTAAAAAAAAAAAATAAAAAAAAAATAATATAAGAAAAATTTCCCCATGATTTAATCTGTTACCGGTTACTAAATGGGAAAAGGATTTTCCTAATCAAATAATAAGAACTAGTCAAAAAATTTTAGTTATTTATTTGTCAGGAGCTCGAGAATATGGGAAAGAGGCACACTCTATAAAAATGTTTTGACTTGTTCAATAACATCAAAAATGATTAAAGAGAAACAATCAAAATAAAATAATTATATTTTACTTTGAAGCTTTTCCTTTTCTTCCATTAAACTTTTTCAGCAAATATTTGTTATGATTTGATATTTGATAATAGGAAATAAAATAAAACGAAATGATATCCACTTAATTACTTCTTTTTATTTTACTTGCAATAAAAAATTTGCGAATAATTAGGAATATTTATATATAAATAATTTCGAATAAACAAATAATTTTCCTCATTATTCATATTCGATTCGAAATTTCGAATCGAATAATTGTGTTATTCGTATTCGTAAAATACGAATCGAATATCAAATAACAAATATTTCGTTTTAGGCCTAGTCATAATCGTCATTTTTGAACTTTTTTCAATTTTTTTAAGGCAAAGTAAAAATATATTTTGTAAATATGTTAAATTAAAATTCCATTGAAGATGTACCTTAGGAGAGTGACAATTGTCATAATCGTCATTTTTGAACTTTTTTGAATTTTTTTTAGACAAATGGGTAAAAATATATTTTGTAAACATGTTAAATTTAAATTTCGGTGAAGATGTACCATAGGAAAGTGACAATTGTCATAATTGTCATTTTTGAACTTTTTTCAATTTTTTTAAGGCAAATGGGCAAAAATATATTTTGTAAACATGTTAAATTAAAATTTCATTGAAGATGTACCTTGAAAGTGACAATTGTCATAATCGTCATTTTTGAATTTTTTTAGACAAATGGGTAATAATATATTTTGTAAACATGTTAAATTTCATTGAAGATCCTTAGGAAAGTGACAATTGTCATAATCGTCATTTTTGAACTTTTTTGAATTTTTTTTAGACAAATGGGTAAAAATATATTTTGTAAACATGTTAAATTTAAATTTCAGTGAAGATGTACCATAGGAAAGTGATAATTGTCATAATCGTCATTTTTGAACTATTTCGATTTTTTAAGGCAAATGGGTAAAATTTTGTAAACATGTTAAATCAAAATTTCATTAAGGGTGTACCATAGGAAAGTGACAATTGTAATAATCGTCATTTTAAACTTTTTTGAATTTTTTTAAGGCAAATGGGTAAAAATAAATTTTGTAAACATGTTAAATCAATTTTTCAGTGATAAAAAAACCTTGAAAAAATAAAAATAGCCATGTTGATAATTTATTTGGAATATTTTGAAGAAAATGGTTGAAATATAAATTATAAACTAATTAATTAAAATTTCAATAAAAGCCATAGAAAAGTGATAAAAGTCATAATTATTTTTAAACTCTATTTAATCAAATAGTAAAAATCTTATTATTTTTACTCATTTGCCATAAAAAAATTGAAAAAAGGACGATTATGACAATTGTCACTTTCCTATTGTATATCTTCACTGAAATTTAAATTTAACATGTTTACAAAATATATTTTTACCCATTTGTCTAAAAAAAATTCAAAAAAGTTGAAAAATGACGATTATGAAAATTGTCACTTTCCTATGGTACATCTTCACTGAAATTTAAATTTAACATGTTTACATAATATATTTTTACCCATTTGTCTAAAAAAGTTCAAAAATGATGATTATGACAATTGTCACTTTCCTATGGTACATCTTCACTGAAATTATAATTTAACATGTTTGCAAAATATATTTTTACATATTTGCCTTAAAAAATAAACTTCAAGTCTGAGTCGAAAAAAACGACCAAACTTCAAGTCTGAGTCGTAAAAACGACCCAAACTGCAAGTCTGAGTCGAAAAAAACGACCATTTTGGGTCGAGGTCGTTTTTTCGGCTTGAACTCGGGTCTAGGTCGAAAAAAGACCTGAACTTTGGGTCGGGGTCGCGACTCGCGGCGTTTTAACAACACTATTTGAATTAACCGTCTGTCGAAAATCACCACAAATTCTCAAGGATCCATCTTTTTTTTAGTGCAGGCACGATCGGCGATACCTATCAAATTAATACCATTGTTTACAATTATATATAATTTTATTCTTATAATTAATGGGTAATTTACATATACCTAGAATAATCTTTAATATTATATGATTTTAAAATAATATCCGTTTTTGTTACTGGTATTTTTAAACGGTAAATTGTCGATCCTGGTGTCAATTAAAAAATTAATATATATTTTATCTATCAATAATTTCATTTCAAATTTTTTCCGCGACTCCTCTGATGAATCTTTATTCTCGCTTCTTTTCCTGGACATCTATCGTTCGAATATATTCTTTCTTACCACGATTCTTCCTGCATACTTTCTGTAGATGTCCATTTATTCCACAAAATTTTGGAACTTTGATTTTATATGGTTTTCTAATTCACAATATTAACAAATAATGGTTTACACTTGTCATACTGCGCCCTTATAACTGTTTTTACATTTAATTCTTTCCTGCAGATAATTTTGCATGCGAAATCATTTCCGTTGTCTCCATTGAGGTAGCAATTTGTACAGCCCTTTCCCATGTCAAGTCTGGAGTGTTGATTAGCTTCATCAATATTTTTTCATTCGTAATTCCCGACACTAATTTATCCGGCAATACTGTATTATACATATCTTTAAAATCACACGTATTTGCTTTTATTTTATTTATATATTCTGTAATCGTTTCTCCTTTTTCTTGTTCCGTTTTAAAAAAATGATATCTCTAGCATAAAATTCGTTTTCCTAGAGTAATAATTTGTTAAAAGTTTAATTATATCATCTAGTGTTGCGTAATCGGCTAAAAACTACACCTAAGCCTAATAAGGCTAGGCCTAAAAATCGGCTAAGTATAAAAATTGGCTAATATAAATTAGTTAAAAATTCTGCATCGATGCCTATCATTAATTATTATTTATTTATTATAGTAAAACAATTTATTTTATTTATATTTAATGTAAATATATTTTTTTTTTTATATTAAACTGTATTTTATTTTTTGATTTTCATTAAAATTACAGAGGATTAAAAAATATATATTAAAATGGATATATTAAAAATTAAATATAAAAAAAAAGAAATATATAATATATATATGATCTATGAAGACATTAAAAAAGACTATAAAAAAAATATATGGGTTTTAAAAAGGGGGGGGGGTATATATCATCCAAGAGAAGAGTGAATACTTAAAAAATTAGACCGGCAAATTTCTAGGGAAATCTGCTGGCGAAGGTAAAATCCTTCATTGGGGTCCCCTGAGATCTGTCTCATTTTTTTTCCTATAATTTTAATGAAATTGAGGGCCTCGTTTCCAAACATGCCTAGGGTATTGGTAACGATAGGAATGAACATAGTGTTGGCGAGGCAAGCGTATTTATTTTTTTTAAGGATTTCTGCCTTTTCGATAGCAGAAAATGAGAGGTTAGACTTGGCAGCAAAATCAACGCAAGTGTAATCCCATGTTAGCGGAAGACCATTAGACCAGGGTATGAGAGAAATACCATCCGGGCATATGGCGTATTCGTTTGAAAGACCCACTGGTTCGATGGTAGATGGGATATTAACTTTTTTGAGGGCGGCTAGTAAAATGTTATTGATAGATTTATGACGAGGTTGTCGTCCACGGGAGAACTTGCAGTGCAAGGGATGGTAAGCCTTCGATTCAATGGGCTGACCACAATCGATGCAGATGGAGGGAACTACGACATTACAGCCGAGGCGGAGGGCTATAGATATACGTAGCTGTTCGCCAGTCATGAGGAGACCAAGATTGGCGCTGGGGATGGCTTCCAACCATTCGTAGCCAGAGTTTGCATTTAGTACCAAATTATTGGGATTTTCCTCAAAGGGCCTGTTCGAAATAAGATATTCAACGGAACGGGCGATCAGAGGAGCATCCCAGTCTTTTTGGGTACTGGAAGCGGGACGGCTAAGGGTGGGAGAGCAGTTGTTGTCCCAAGAGGTGAGGGCCTGTGAGAGGTCAGTATCTGAAGGAGTAGATCCATTGTCGATAATAGATTGAGCAGCAAGACGAGATGAGATGAAGGCTGAGAGGGAAAGTTGTAAGAGGGATCGGATACCAATACCACCAGACTTGCATGGAAGAGTGGCCTGGAGCCAAGATTAATTGGAGAATTTAAGGTTTAATATGTTTTCTAGGAGATCCTTAATTTGGGTTTCGTGGGAAACTAGCAAATGGCTGCATTTGAAGATCGGTGAGGATCTCAGGGCATAGAGGATTTTGGGTATATTAAAATAGTTTTTGATTAAAAAAAAGGATTGATGAGCGGGTGGGTAATTAAAAAGTGAGTTTAAATTAGATAAATTGTCCAGGGATTTGTTTAAAAAAGTTTCGATTGCTTTTTCACCCCCTATCGGTGATCCAAGATGTGTCATCTCTTCTCTGTTGATGGCGAGGAATGTGGTTTCTGAAGGGATGGATGTTGTAGAGTTTAAGAAGCAAATCTCACATTTGGGGAAGTTGAGAGATAGTCCTGTTATATAAGAGAGATTTTCAATGATGGGGGGAATGGACATGACTGTGGAGAGGTTGCCTGAGACTATACCGTCATCGAGGTACCAGGAATTTAGAGTGAGGTTAGATATAGATTGAATATCTAGGATTATCTTGTGTATCCCGATGCAAAAAAGGGCTGGGCCTAAGGGGTCTCCTTGTTGGATTCCCTCCTGAGATTTTATTATGTTGTTATTGTACTTTAAAAAAGTAGGGCTAGAGTAACTGTTGAGAATGTATGTAGAATATTGAGGATATTTGTGGCAAAACAAGGGAACGAAATATTGACGTTTGATTGTATTGAAAGCATTTTTGAAATCAAGTTTTAAAACGACAGTCAGGAATATTATTTGAGAGGGTAATGCGAGCAAGATGGGCCGAAATTTCAGATCCTCCAGGTACACCAAACCCTAGCTGGCGACAGGAATGAAGAAAGAGATTCCTTTATTCGTGAGGCAATGATCTTAGAGATAGTCCTTCTGAAGAACGACCCAACAGCAATTGGGCGGATACCTCCATCCTTTTTTTTGAGGGCTATAAGGCGGGCACCAAAGAGAATAGGAATGATAGGTGGTGGGAGGGGCCCATTAAGAATTAAATTTAATAACCTGGTAAGGTTCTGCAAGAGGGTTTTGCATGATATGTTAGGTTTTAAAATGTCTTGGATGAAAATAGCACGAATGCCATCAAGGCCTCCAGAAGAGTCTCTTTTGAAAGCTCTGACAGCTTTGATCGTCTCATCAGAGTTGATTTCAGGGGCTATATGATCGTTTTGGCTTGAGAAGGCAAATTCTGAATCACATGAAGGGTGTTTTAGAAGCAAGGCTTCTAGAGTGGACTCATTGTTTGGAGCTAAGGAATCTTCAGAGGTCATGATCCGAAGGGCTGAATATTAAGGCTGTTTATTTTGTTTGAAACTATTTTAGCCTTATGGGCAATAGGGAGTGGATTGGATTGGTGGGTCTGAGGTGTAGGGGTTGGAATAGAGTCAGGTTTGAAAAGAGATATTGAAGTTTTAATGTGTTTAGATAATTGGATATTTTTATTATCGGGAATTTTAAGGGTGGAAATAGTAAAACTTAGTAAGTTTTTCCAATTTGATAGGTTTGCAGGATTGTTTACTGTTAATAGGATTAACTTGTTAAAGGATTCTGCAAAAGAATTGCGAGCACCACGCGGAATACGGGATATGGTGGAAACATTGGGTACTGATAAAAAATCATTGGCCCATGATTGTAAGTTGGGAGTTTGCTGACTAGGGGGCAAGTTGGTAGCAACAATAGGCAGGGGATGGCTTGCTAAATTTAATAGGCTGAATGGAGGAGGATCTGTAGGTGTTATGCATGGTAACCCTGAACCTAGGCATCTAGAGGATGGAGGGCCATGAACTTGAAACTTTCTAGCTTTGGTAATTTTAGTATATTTATGGCAAGAGGGGCATAAATTATGCATTTGGATTATAGTTTCCAAACTTATAATTGTTGTATTCTTGCTTCACATAGCTATTTAGGCATGTATTATCCATTAATTTTGGAATATATGTAGGAATAGTTATCAAAATTTTGCTTGACAAATATTAGGACAAGGACCACATGAACCATTTGTTTGTATTTTTGAGATTTTTGGTGATGGATTGTTAGATTATATGGGTTTTGTTGTAGATGAGTGCAGAATAATTAATTATTTATTGTACCAGTGAGTGTTTATTTTTATTTCATTGAAAATGTTTTATAGCTCTGAAGATATTGATGTAGGTGGTGGGGGAAAATTAGAGGGTTTTAAAGTTGTAGAAGGGGTCAGAATATTTAAATATGTATAGTGCATGTAAGTGTTGTATTTTTATTTCCTTGATGTGTTGTAAATAGTTTCAATAAGAGTAAGCTTGTTATAAACTATGAAGTTATACGTGCAGGAGGTATATAAATTTCAATCATTTATTTATTGTTTTTAAAAGGATTTCAATTGGAAATATGATAAGAATTTATTTGTATAGCTTTGATTCCATGAACAGCTGTAAGGATGGATGTATTTTTTTATTATTATCAACAAATAAACATGATATGATTTAATATTTTTTATTTATATTGTTATATTTTGAAATGAAAATAAATTTATTTATTTGATGTTTTTTAATAAAAAAAATAATATGCTGCTATTGTAAAAATGAAATATTCTTTTTAATATAATTTATTAGTGATTTTCACAATCTTCTTTGTAAATACATCTTTTATTGAGGAATTATATTGTAAATTTTATTAGATAAAAAAACAATCTTTTAGGTGAAATCTTTTATAATTTTTTTTTATCAATTTTTTTATTAAATGAGGTGTTTTTTTTAAATAATTTTAAAAAATATTTATATTAAACTTTTTTGATGTTATTTTATATAATCTTTTTAAGGATAATATTTTAATGTGACAATTGTCATAATCGTTATTTTTAAAGTTTTTGATTTTTTTTGACGAAAACAGATTAAAATAAGTATTGATAACATATTTAAATAAAATTTAGTGAAGATGTACCATAGAAAAGTGACAAACAATTGTCATAATCGTTATTTTTAAAGTATTTTGACTAAAATAGATTAAAATAAGTATTGATAACATGTTTAAATAATAATTTAGTGAAGATGTACCATGTGACAATTGTCATAATTGTTATTTTCAAAGTTTTTTTAATTTTTTTGACGAAAATATGTTAAAATAAGTATTGATAACATGTTTAAATAAAATTTAGTGAAGATTTACCATAGAAAAGTGACAATTGTCATAATCGTAGATTTTAAAGTTTTTTGAATTTTTTTGACGAAAATATGTTAAAATAAGTACTGATAACATGTTAAAATAAAATTTAGTGAAGATGTACCATAGAAAAGTGACAATTGTCATAATAGTAGTTTTTAAATTTTTTTGACATACAGTATTAATATGATTTGTTGTAACACATTTTCATAATGTGAAAAAATATTCTTATATAGTTAAATAACTTTCCATAATTATTGTAAAAAACATTTTGATAAAATTTTTTTTTAAAGTTTTTAAACTTTAATGAAGACTAACATCAAAGTTATGAATCAAATAGTTTTTTTTGGACACAAGTTTAAGTGGAAAAATGAGAATTCAAAAAAATTTTTAATAATAAAGTTCTTATACTTTAATGAAGACTAACGTCAAAGTTATGAATCGAATATAGTTTTTTTATGTTTTGGACATAAGTTTATAAGTGGAAAAATAAGAATTTTAAAAGATATTATAAAAGAAATTTTCTAAGATTTTTACAATATCTTTTTAAATTTAAAGAATTATTCCAATATTTTAATTTTACTTTTAGCTATCCAAAGAATGGAAATCAGGATAAGAAATTTGAATAATTTCTTAAATAAACATGAGTGAAAACTCGAATTATGGGTTTTCAGATAATTCTTATTTGTTTAGAATTTTTTATGACCAATTCGAAACACCAAAATAAAAAAAAACATTTATTATTTATTTATTCTTTGTAAATAAAATATTGCACAATATAAATCAATTACAAATTCAATAATTTAAAGGAATGCATCGAATTCCCTCTTAAATAAACTTTATGGTGTGAGAATAAAAATTTGAAAAATTATATGTAAAATAATTGCCTAAAATACTCGTAACAATTGAAATAACTTCATTTCGGTTATTGGGTTTAGGAGAATTTGATCTATATTGATTTTTAATTACTCCGAAAAAATTTTCTATCGGATTTAATTGCGGCGAATAGGGTGCCAAAAATATGATATTTGGATAATTCTCACTAATTATCCTCGCTCGATGTATAGGAGCATTATCCATTATAAGTAATGAATTTGATGGTAAAAGTGCGAATAATTCATCCAGGTATGCCTTGAATTTTATCGCAGTAAAAGCCCCATCTATTATTGTCAATTTTTTCAATCCACTTATTCCTATTGTGCTTAGGACTGATATATTTTTCCCCTTGGAGGGAGGTAATTTAACAGATGGCCGTTTCCCTAAAGGTGCCCACCCATAATGAGAAATAATATGGGTATTAAACCCTGTCTCGTCCAAGAAGTATGCATTTCCAAAAGAAATATTTATCATCTTGTCACAATATTCCTTTCGAATTTGAATTACATCTGGAGAGTTTCTCCTATCGGGTTCTTTCCCAACCCTTTTCCGACTCCAGCCCATTAATTTAATGCATTTGGATATAGCTGACTCGCTCAACCTTAGATGTGGCCGGTAAATGTTCTATAATATTTTTGATTGTATAGCCGTTATTATTACCAAACAATTCAGCTATATGCGATTGAAGTTCTGTAGTGTCTTTCTTCTTCCGCCCTCGTTGTTTTATTATATAATCAGATAAAAGGTCGTCGTAATATTCAGGAAAAGTTTCCCGTTTGAAACGATAAACCGAACCAGTGGATAAATTTAGATCATGGGCAATTGTCTTTGCATTGGGCTGATCATCAATTGGTTTGCTCAGCCATATTTTAGCCAATTCCATTTTTTCATCGCTCCAATTACCATTTTTTTTCTTCAAATGAATAAGATCAAAATTTGGTTGCTCTTGAATATTCGAATAACATCAATTTGTAATGTCAGTTAGGCATCTAAGGGAATTTGATGGGATAGGTGAATAACTTTGGTATCTATTTGTTATTTCAGATAACCCCCCGAGAGAATTAAAAGTTTCATTAGGTGTATCTAGAATTTTATATATAAGGTTAGTAAATAATAGAATATTATATTAACAAACCTGAAACTGGAGATAGATTCAAAATACTAGCGATAGTAAAATTTGACATTTCAAAAAATGGAAATATAGTTTTTAATTATAAATTATAAAATATAGAAGTTTAAAATTAAAATTGTCGCAAATTTAAGAAAGAATTTTTATAGGTTTTAATTTAAGTTAATTACCGGAAGTTTTTAAAAATATAATGTGTTTCTTAAAATTTTCTTTCAAGTTTTTAAAATTTTTTTAAAAAAGGATGTATTTTTCTCAACAAGTTTTTACAATAATTACGGAAAGTTAAATTGAAGTGTCGGGGCTTCCGTTATGGGTAGAATGGTTGGTGGCACATCTCGATGATTTTTGGTATGCGTCATTTTAGGAAATTTTATATTTTATTTAATTTTAAAACCAAAAAAAAATAAGAATTATCTGAAAACCCTAAATTCGAATTTTCTTTCACTTATGTTTATTAAGAAATTATCAAATTTCTTATCCTGATTTCCATTCTTTAGATAACTAAAAGTAACATTAATATATTGTAATAATACTTTAAATATGCATTTTAAAAAAAAATTATTTTAAAAATCTTCGAAAATTTTTATTCTCATTTTCCCACTTAAACTTGGGTCCAAAACATAAAAAAATTATATTCGATATATAACTTTTACGTAAATATTCATTAAAGTTTAAAAACTCTTATTATTAAAAAAATTTTAAAAAAATTTTATCAAAATATTTTTACAATAATTATTGAAAGTTATATAATTATATAAGAATGTTTTTTCACAATATGAAAATGTGTTACAACAAATCATATTAATACTTTAAATAGGCTAAAATAAGTATTGATAACATGTTTAAATAAAATTTAGTGAAGATGTACCGTAGAAAAGTGACAATTGTCATAATCGTTATTTTTAAAGTTTTTTGAATTTTATTGACGAAAATATTTTAAAATAAGTATTGATAACATGTTTAAATAAAAA